GTGTTAGCCAGGATGGTCTCGATCTCCTGACCTCGTGATCCGCCCGTCTCGGCCTCCCAAAGTGCTGGGATTACAGGCTTGAGCCACCGCGCCCGGCCCAGCACAGAATATTTCTATCACACAGAAATATTTCACTCTGCCATGTCTCTATCAAAAGTGGGAGAAAAGGGCAGGTGCGGTGGCTCCCATTTTTAATCCCAGTACTTGGGGTCCTATGACAGTCTCCTCCAGCCTGGCTCCAGCCACGCCTGTTTCCTCCTGTTCCTCAAACACCCTAAGCTCAGTCTTGCCTCCAAGCCTTTGCCCTGGCAGTTTCTCCCACCCAGAATAACTTTCCGCTAGATGTTTTTTTTTTTTCTTTTCTTGAGACCGGGTCTCACTCTATCACCCAGGTTGGAGTGCAGTAGCGCGATCTCGGCTCACTACAGCCTCTGCCTCCCGGGTTCAAGTGATTCTTCTGCCTCAACCTCCCTAATAGCTGGAATTACAGGTGGAAGCCACCACACCCAGCTAATTTTTGTATTTTTAGAAGAGATGGGGTTTCCCCATGTTGGCCAGCCTGGTCTCCAACTCCTGATCTCACGTGATCTGCCCACCTCAGCCTCCCAAAGTGCTGGGATTACAGGTGTGAGCCACCACACCCGGCTAGACATTGATTTATATGCCTGACTTCTTCTGAGCTTACAGACCTCAGCTCAAACGGCCTTCCCTGACCTTCCTGGCTAAAGCGTCAACCTCCCCCACCCACTCTGTCGCATCACTCTGTTTACTTCCTGCTGTGGCAATTCACAGGACCTGAATTTATCTCGTAGGTGTGTTTCCTGATTCACAGTTTGCCTCCCCCGGCTGGAGCTCCTGCAGGGCAGGGGTCTGTGTCTGTCTTGTTCACCTGCCACAGTGCCTGGCATACAGTAGGTGCTTGCTAAATGCATGTTGCCTGAAAGAAATAATCAGTTGGTTACAGAATGGGTGTGTGCAGATCTGTGTATGTCTGTGTCCCCCTGTGTCCTGTGTGTGTCTCGTTGCTGTGATTCTCTGGACGGCCCCGCGTGTGTCCCTGGGGACAAGCGTGGCGCTATGGGTCAGTGAGTGTTTGTGGTGAGGGTTTTCCGGGTCTGTGTGTTTGTGACTTTGAGGAGTCCTGTGGCAACCAGTGTGCAAGTCAGTGTCTCCATAGGTGTTCTCAGAGGTGGCCAGCATCTGTTCCTTTGTGTCGTTGTTTTGTTTTCGTTTGTTGTTTGAGACGGAGTCTCGCTCTGTCGCCCAGGCTGGAGTGCAGGGGCACGATCTTGACTCACTGCAACCTCCGCCTCCCGGGTTCAAGCCGTTCTCTTGCCTCGGCCTCCCGAGTAGCTGGGATTACAGACACCCGCCACCACACCCGGCTATTTTTATATTTTTAGTAGAAACGGGTTTTCCCACATGTTGGCCAGGCTGGTCTCGAACTCCTGACCTCAGGTGATCCACCCGCCTCGGCCTCCCAAAGTGCTGGGATTACAGGTGTGAGCCACCGCACC